TCTACCTTGCCAGCAGACACATTCTTGCTCTCCTGCTGGCCTTGAAGAAGCTAGCTGCTATGTTGTAAACTGCCTATGGGGAGAGCCATGTGGCAAGGAACCAGGGTGGCCTTTGGCCAACAGCCAGCAAAAAACAGAAGTTGTCATTCTCATAGCCACAAGGAAAGAAATCCTGTCAACAACATGGGCCCTTCACCAGTGAGGCCTCCAGATGAGAACCCAGGCCTCGTCAACACCTCAACTGCAGTCAGTAAGACCCTATGGAGGGAACCAGCTAAGCTGTGCTCAGACTCCTGACCCATGGAAACTGTGAGATAATAAATGTGTGTGTTCTAAGCCACTAAGTTTGTGGTAATTTGTTATGCAGTAATAGAAAATGAATACATTCCCTAAGATCAGGGTTTAACAAATTTTTTTCTGTAAAGGGTCAGCTACTAAGTATTTTAGGCATTGAGGGCCATTTGGTGGCTGTTGCCATACTCAACTTTGTCCTTGTAGTACAAAAGCAGCCACAGATAATTCACAAATGAGTGAGGTGGTGTTCCAATACATTTTATTTTCAAAAAGCAGTGGCAGACAGAGGAGAGAGAAGAGATTTGCGATACACTATCTGACAATAACAGATGTGATACACACAACAACAGGATGAATCTCAACGCTCTCTGCTCAGTGAAAGAGGCAGCTCAGAAAGCTACTGCACGATTCCACCTATGTGATGTTCTAGAAAAGGCAAAACCACAGGCACAGAAATGAGATTAGCAGTGACCAGGGACTGCGTATGAGAGGAAAGGACGGACTACAAAGGGGCATGAGGTATGTGGACAGTTTCTGGGCTGATGGAAATATTCTATATTTTGATTTTTGGTGGTGGTTACATAACTATACGATAGTTTTGTCAAAATTCATAGAACTGTCCATCTAAACAGGGTAAATTTTATTGTATGTAATTATACTTCAATGAACTCAACTTAAAAAAACACCACCTGATAGTAAGTATCAAGTGCTGCCAAAAATGTGCAGCAGAAACTCACATTCTGCAGAAGGGCATGTAAGGTACACAACCACACTAAAAAACTGTTTGCTATACTGGACTTTATGACCTAACACTCCTACCCCTGGCTGGTATGCACAACAGAAAAGAGTATAAAGCAGTCCCCAACCTACAACATACTCACATTACGGATGAACTGCACTGATGACTGTCCTTTTATTCTTTTTTGCACATCTTATCGTTAGTAACATGTGCTACATACAATGCTGCAGTGCTGATGTTATCATTTGCTGATATTTAATTTTATGATTTACTGTTCAAAACACTGTCAGATTCTTTTAGTTTTCTAAACTACATCAGGGGCTTCAATTGCTTGAGAACATGGACTCAAATGCTGATTGCTTTGCTAAAGTCTACAGGCAGATTCGGGAAGAAGTGAGATGTTACCACGAAATATATGAAGAAAAAATGGAGAAGGCCATACACAGACAACTGTCACTAATTTTCTCCTTAGAAATGCCATCCCCATTCTCAGGGAGAGTCCAGATGATCCAGAACTTTCCACAAGTGGAGTTATTACCACAACTGACAAAATGCCAATCTCGTCTAACTCTTCTTTATCATCGGAGTATATTTTTATGATCTGTGTACTTTCTGTATGTATGTATTAAAATATATCCGCAAGTTCATATGTAATGTTTCCAACCCCCAAGACAAATAAAGATTGGATTTATAAAGATATTGGTAATAAAAGGCAATAATAATGAAAGCTAAAAAAAAAAATGAAGTATTCTATTTATATCTGAACCAACTTACAACGTCAGAATGGAACACTGTCCTAAGTCAGGAACTACTGTATATAGTATATTCTGAATAACAAAATTAATTAAAAAAAAACAAAACTGAGTATATATGTCCATTAAAAGACACATTTAAGAATGTTCATGATAGTTTTATTCATAAGGCTCCAAACTGGAAATAATGCAAAGATACACTAACTGCAGAATGAATAAACAAATTCTGCTATATTCATACAGGAAAAACAAACCATTGCTGTGCACAAAAATATGAATGAATCTTACAATGCTGAGCAAAAGAAGCCATATCTAAAAGACTAAATATTGTAAGGTTCCATTTGTGAGTACATGAATTTCCAAAATAAATAAAATAAATCTATAGTGACAGAATTCAAAAGAGTGGTGCCTTTTGGAAGTTATGTGTAAGCTCTGGTGGCACAGTGCCTAAGGCATTTGACTGCTAACCAGAAGTCTGGCAGTTCAAACCCACCAGCCACTCCTCAGAAGGAGGACTGGGCAATCTACTTCCGTAGTGATACCGCCTCAGAAACCCAAGGAGGGGTCGCTATGAATCAGGATTGACTCGACGGCAGTGAGTTTTGTCTGGTTTTTGGAAGTGTGTAGAGCTAGGAGGGAGTGTTGAGGGAGACTTCTAGAGTGCTGGCAACTTTTGTACCTTAATCTGGGAGGTGTGTTCATTTATAAACATTCATCAAGCTGGATGCTTCAGATTTATGTTCCTTACTACACCCACTCCTTATTTATTGACATGGTTAGGTTCTAAAGACCAGAGCATTATGTGTAAACTGGTGTGAGTGAAAATGGAGGATTTTTTTTTTTTCTGTTTTCAGACCATACATTTGTGTGATTGTTTTTTTATTTAGAAAATATGATTATAGAAATAATAACAGTTAACATTTACTAAAGTGCTCATCATTGTGATGAGTCCAGTTATGGATTATTCCTTTGCAGAGGAGGAGGCTTGGAGGGGACAAAGCTGGATAAAGGTTAATACACAGTTACTTCAGGCTTTGTGACTGGAGGGCCCAAGGCTTAGCCACTTCACCTTCCTCCAGTACTGGGTCAGATCCTCCCTCTCAGAGCTGCCTTCAGGGTGCCACTCCCACCCCTGCAAGCCCTGAGTTCACGACTCCAGAGCCTGTTCTGCTCTCAGGGTCTGGCAGCAAAACACCCAGGCTCTAGGCTAGGGACTTCCTGCTAGGGAGCTGGGAGCCTGGCCAAGCACCTTACCCTGTCCCACAAAGGCGAGGCTACAGGCCCAGTTTGGCTCACTGTGGGATGTCATTAAACTCACACACATTTCTTCCAAACACCCTCTTTGATGCCTTTCTTTCCTCCTTTCCTACCCCACAGCAATTTTGAGCCATGTAGGAGCTGGGAACTCAAAACAGGTGCCCACTGGTACCCGCCTGCATGTCTGCCACAGGCCATGGAGGAGGCTAGCCTCAGGTGGCAGATGGACACTGTGCCTGCCCCTCCCACCCCAACACCACCATAAGAGGGAATGGAGGGTTTGGGACAGCACTGCTGGGCTTCCTAGAGGCCACCCAGAGACCTTCCTTGAGGCAGGGGGCACCACCATGCCATAGCTCATTAATGTGCAAAATAGTTGGATAGTAGATTTTTGATTACTGTAAATATGAAATGTCAGATAAAGATAGTTGATAAGTGAGGAGTAGGTATACAGGTTATATTTCAATAAACATTTTACCAAAAGAAAAAAACAAAACAAAACCAGGTGGTAAGCTGGATTTGGCCCAGAGGCCATAGTCTGTCAATCCCTGACCTAAATGGTGGGATTATGGGGAAGTAACTTTTTTTGCTTTGTTTCTCTTTTTTAAATTTTTCTACTACAAGCATATACTACTTATATAATACAAAGTTTTAAAAATAATGATTTTAAAAACTGTCTAAAATATAATGAAGAAAAAAAAAAGACTGCACAACAAAGACTCTAATATTTCATTGCTATATTGACCGTGTCTATGAGAAGTTTCAAATGGAAAAGATGGAAAGGATTTTCAGTAATGATTCCACTACTGCTAATGCTGCTGATGTAGTATCAGCACTTACTGAGTGCTCACAAGGCTGAGTGCTTCACATACTTGGTCTCATTTGATCTTTTAAACAACCTTATTGGCGTAGTGCCTAAGGTATTTGACTGCTAACCAGAAGGCTGTCAGTTCAAACCCACCAGCCACTCCTCAGAAGGAAGGTTGGACAATCTACTTCTGTAGTGATACCGCCTCAGAAACCCAAGGAGGCGTCACTGTGAGTCAAATCCAACTTGACGGCAGTGAGTTTGGTTTTTGGTTTTGGTTTATGAGGGTCAACGGTAGAAAGATATGGCAGTCTTTTTCCGTAAAGATTACAGCCTTGGAAACTTTTGGGGGCAGTTCTACTCTGTCTCTTAGGGTCACTATGAGTCAGAATCAACTTGACTGCAATGGTTTCTTTTTTTTCCAATGAGAGTCACAGAGGTCAGATAACTTGCTCAAGATCATAGAGCTAGTGAGTGGCTTAGCTTCTTCTCAATGAAGATTCCTGCTACCAAGGCCTATCCTCCCTACTCCTATGCTCCACTGTCTCCTTTTGTTCAGGAGAGATACACACTCAACAGCTCAGCTTTAGTGGGGTCTCATCAATTCATCAGTAGCTGATGAATCCCAGCTGTTCTCCCAGTCCCCCAAGTCCTTTTGAGGGGTCTTGGACAAGTCTAATGTGTCCAAGCAAAATTAATGTTTACAGTTGACTTGGCAAAAGTTGTGTGATATAAAACATTTAATGTTTAATATACAGGTTGCATAGGAAGCAATGATTTGCTGAACCCTTCCTATGCCAGATGCTTTACAATCATTCTCTCATTTAATCCTCATAACAACTCCACAGACAGAAATTATTCTCATCATTTTCCATATGTAACCATTGGACTAAGGGAAGGTATCTACCTAGAAAGTGAGAGAGTTAAGATCTGAACCCAGGTTTGGGTGTATCCAAAGGCTATGTTCTTTTCTTTCTACTGTACCTTGGGATGGGGGGGTAGGCAGGAGGGAGCCTGAGGATTTCTGTCTCAGGTTCCTCACACAGGGGCAAGGTTGAGAACTCAAGTAATTGCAGAGAAGGAATAAAGGAATGAAGGAATAATGAGCATCACATTAACCCAAACCTCACTCGTGGTCGTTGGGTCCATTCCAACTCATAGCAAACCCTTAAGACAGAGTACAACTGATCCATAGGGTTCCTAAGGCCGTAAATCTTTACAGAAGCAGACTGCCTCATCTTTCTTCTGTGGTGTGACTGGTGGGGTCAAACATGTTAGATTAATCAAAATTGGCTACCTGGAGATATGCTATGGGAGGAGGTAGGGCAGGACTCACGGAGAAGGCAACAAGGAAAAGATTATGGACAATGCACAAAATCTAAAAGTCCTTAATATAACCACATGGATAATCAAAACCAAACTTTTTCAAGTATAAGCAAACAAAATACATTTGCATACATCTTACTTGGTTAACATTAAGTAAACCTCTCAAAACTATGTGAAAGAACTAGAAATTCCCTTTAAGATTCTGGTTCAAACGAGGACAGGTTATTAATGCTTAACATAGATAATCTCTAACAAATGGTCATTTGTTGTTGATGTAAAAGGAGCTGGCACTTTCCAGTGGTGGCTTTACTGTATAAGTCCATAATTCAACACCACTCCTGGCTGCCAACAAGTGTCAGTTTCAGCACAAATTTCCCTGCCCCAGGGTAAGATCCTTTCGGGTATGGAATGTGGCCCTAACTTGGGGAGAGCATACTGCCAGTTGTCGGAAGGGGACAAACTTTTTCTGAAACTATTCAATAGCTTTCCAAAAGTATTATCTTTTATGACAACAAACAAAGAAACAGGAGGAAATGGGGAGAAATTTTTTTTTTAAATCACCTTAACACCTTCCTGGGCATATAAGAATAGAATCCTGAAGTAATGATGCATTATTCACTCATACTACTGTATTTCTAAAAGTTCTTCCTATTTCTCAAAGCTAGAATCGAGATGAAGCACTTCGTTTTCCTTCCTATGCCATCTTAGAGTGGCAGCTCATAGAATACTAACATGTAGTAATTTTCTGCCTACTCATTTACAAAAAAAAAAAGGATTTCATATAATTCAGGGACCTTCTGCAACAAAGCCATGCTGCCCTCACCAGATGCCCTTAGTGGATTCCTTATCCAACAGTGCACGTAACAGTGTTCAACTTGTTCTCCCATCTCTAAAATCATTCCAGGAGTTCTACCAACCTCCTCTCTACCTCCAAAAGCCCCTGAGAGTTATCTACTCTCTCACAGACAGAAGTATCCACCACTCCTTTCTCAGACTAATCTTCCTCCACCTTGCTCCTGATGCCATCCCCTCCTCCAGGATGTCCCTCAATAATGTATCAATAATGAAACTCTATACTCTTTGATGGATCTCCTCCTATACAATTTACAGGTCCCATCAATTATACCTCTGTATCTCTGGCATCTCCCCTTAAATTTCGCTTTTCCTCACTACCAACACTCAGCTCTTCTGCTCACTCAGACTGTTGGCAATAGCCATCCTCTAACTGCTTTCCCTGCCTCTGATCACTCCCTTTCTAGTTCATCAAGTCTAAGGCACAAGTCTTCATCTTCTAAAATATAGCTCTTTCATTTTTCTATTTAAAAAGCTTTAATGAAGTGATTAGGTACAACAAATAACATTCCAAGTTAACAGCATGGATTCAGAGCTCTCCAAAAAGCAGGTTCCAATCCATCATATTTCTAAACTACATCATGCTCTCTCTCGGTCAAAAGACACAGGCCAACATACCTACCACTTACTGAGTGCTTACTAAGCACTATACATTCATGATAAGTTTAAGATTCATTTTTAAATTATTTATTTTATTGAAGGCCTCTGAATACATCAGGTTGTATTCTCAGTACTGGGAACACAGTGGTGAACCTAACAGGCAGAAATCTCTGCCTTCATGGAGCTTACAGTTCAAGTTGGGGAGACGGACAATAAGCAAATAAAATATCACATGGTATACCAAAAATAAAGCAGACCTCTTCCTGTTCCTAAGGAGTCACTATACCTTTAAAGCTAGCCTGCTGGGAACACCAAAACCAGCTGCCACTGAGTTGATTCTGTCTCATAGTAATCCCACATGTGTCAGAGTAGAACTGTGCTCCACAGGGTTTTCAATGTAATTTTTTAGAAGTAGATTGCCAGGACTTTCTTTCAAGGCTCCTCAGGGTGGACTCTAACCATCAGCCTCGAGGTTAGCAGCTGTGCATGTTAACTGTTTGTACCACTCAGGGACCTGGGAATGCCAAAGCAGACCCTTTCCCCTGGCTGACAGCCTCTGTGAACTTGTCAGTGCTCCTTTATAAATGAAGATGTACTGCACTGACCTGAGTTAGGATGTACTGATCCTTTGCCGTTCTTCACATCCACCACCCAGGTAGCTTCTTTACCTCCAGGGCCATCCTTCACCTTGAAGGCAAAAATGCCACCAATTTTCTTTACAAACTGTTCCCCTTCCTGGAAAACACAAACAAACAAAAAACTCTTACATTAAGTTCATTTCTCTGGCTTTTTCCCAAAAAACAAATGCAATAATTAAACAGATGCATGATATGAGCAACTGGGCCAGCAGGCAGTCCCCAAGTTTCCTTAAGATCTTTTAGCCGGAAAAGTCTGAAAGGCAACCAGGTCCTAACACCTACATCTGCCAAATCTTGTGTTAGAAATGGCTTTTTGGATATAGGTGGTGGGAGGAAAGGGAGAGTAAGGGTGGCAGGGAAGCATTTTCTGCTGAAATTGCCTTCATATGTCTCAGTAGTTTTTGACAGATTCACTCTGGTCTTTATAAATCTAGAAACCTCCACAAACACACATACACACTTGAAGTCCTTTATATAGATTTTTATTCCCCACAATCAGAACTTAAAGATGAGTGGTTCTGAGTCAAAGTCTTTATTTGCTTTACCCATTTTCGGGATTTATGTAAAAAATTACACAAGTAATATGTCATCCACTGGTAACTTTTGGATGCTGGGGAAAGAAACTAGCCTAAATAGGGGGGAAAAAATAACCTCAACCCTGTATCTCTGCAGGTTGTTTACTTTCTCCCTCCCTTCTCCTCCCCTGCATCCCCACTCTGCTTCCATCTTTACTTCCTGAAACATTAAGTCAGGCCACTGTTTTAGGCACCAAGGACAGAGAGACAGGAGTCAACAAATACACTGTGATCAATCCTGGGTTAGAGGAAAGCATGGGGACTGCAGGAGCACAGAGTGACAGCTAGGCTAAGCCAGCCTGGCAGGGTGAATAATGAAAGGATAACAACAACCTGGCACACTTTTTAAAAAAAGAACAGAACAATAACATAACATTACTGAAATTATTTTTCTTTAGAGAAGAAATGCATTTTACTGGTGGAAAAATTAGAATAATTTTTATAAAAAATTATAAGCATAAAAAGAATATATATCATTCATAATTTCATCACCCAAAGATTTATACAGTATTTCTGTATAAATCCCCTCTATCTTTTTTCCTCTGCAAAAAATTTTATTTTTTTTTAATTTTATTTTGATTTGGGTGAAGATTTACAGAGCAAATTCACTTTTCATACAGCAGTTCACATATACTTTGTCTCATGTCATTGACCAAAATTTACAATACAACAGCTCCCCTCCCACTTCCTCCCCATAGCCACCTCTTCCCAGTGTCCATCCCTCCATACTCTTCTGCGCCCTGAGCTGTCTCCCTGTGCATAAGCAGCCCTTCCTTCTCTCTGCAAAAAATTTTTTAATGGGTCACTGCCAAAGGGGCAGGGAAGCCTCATCTTCTGACCTACTCTAACCACACAAGAAGACAGGATCACCATCAATAGCCCAACGCCTATTCCTGCAAGGCCAGTCATGCTGCCTCCCTCCAGCCCTTGCACCAACTGTTCCTCCCGCAACACCCACCACTTCTCTGCTAGGTTCGATAATTTGCTGCAGTGGCCACACAGAACTCACAGATTATGGGGTTTGTTAGGGAAGCACCAGGCTACAATTCACGTTCAGGAAGTACACTCAGTCTCTCTCCCAGCAGCGCATGTCTCTTGGCGTCGCTTTCTCAGCAGCGTGTCTCTCTCGGTGTCTCTTTCTCAGCAGTGTGTCTCTCTTGGTGTCTCTTTCTCAGCAGTGCGTGTCTCTCAGGAGCACATTTCTCTCAGCAACACGTCTTTCTCATCCAATAGTCAGAGACAGACTCCTTCTGTCTCTAGGAGGGCTCCTTTTGAGTCTGGCAGAGTGGCCAAACTAACCAATCATAACATCAGAATTCTAAGCACCTGAGAGAGCTTGAACTTCCCAGAACACTGCTTTGTGCCACTCTCTACAGAAATACCCCAGGTGGATAATTTTAACAATCAGGAGCTCCTCAGTTGCTCATGGGAAAATTCTACCTCGGAGTTTACAGACTTATGGCTAGAAAAGCCATACCAGGTAATTTACTACACTGCAGTCATACTGTACATACTCTTTTGTAATCTAATTTTATGTTTAATATAATTATCCTTATTTCTATGTCATTAAATATTCTTCTACATAATTTTAAATGGTCACATAGTCTTTAACTGTAATGTGTACCATGTTTCACTTAATCAATCACTACCCTGTTGCTTGACATTTACATTGGTTCTAACTTCTGACTCTTGTAACAATGTTGTGAATATTATAACCCCATTTATTTAAGGATAATTCCTAGAACTTTATCAATTAAGAACACTGAATCTGGAATGAGGTAACACAGGTCTGAATTCCTGTTGTCACGTACTTATTAACACTGGGCAAGTTACTTAAACTCTGAGTCTCAGTTAATTCTTTCCTGTTAAATGGAGAGATAACAGTAGCTACTCCCATAGAGTTGTATGAGAATCAAATTATGTAATTATCTACAAAACAGAGTATTGCTCAACAAGGTCAGCTTTTTAAAATTTTATTCCATAATCTGTCTGCTATTCCTATGCCAATATTTAGCTCTGGAATGTACTTTACTCTGGAATGGCAAATCCTCATCATAATTCTTCTCTTCCAAATAGTTTTGGCTACTTTTGGATATTTTGGGAATACTTTTTTCCTCCAGATGTATGTACTTTATAATCATTTGGTTAGCTCTTCCCCAAAAAAGTTGTTGGATTTAAATGGAGTTGCATAAAATATATGGATCTGTTTGAAGGAAAAGTGGTATCTTTACAATATTAAGTCCTCCCATCCATGAAGTGGCATATCTTCAAGTTTTCTTCAAGGTCCCTTGATAAAATTTTGTCATTTTTTTCCTGATATAGGCTTTTGTACATTTCTTGCATATTTCATATTGTTCTTGTTAATGATATATCTTTTTTATTATATTTTATGACTAGGCTATTGTAAACATATAGAAAACATGTTAATCTTTGCGCGCGTGTGTGTGCGTACACACACACATATATAGACACACACACATATATATACACTAAGGAGCTTTGGTGGTGTAGTGCCTAAGGCATTTGACTGCTAGCCAGAAGGTTGGCAGTTCAAACCCACCAGCCACTCTGTAGAAGAAAGAATGGCAATCTACTTCCATGAAGATTTACTTCCTCGGAAATTAAACTTGCAATTTCATTGAATGCTGCTATTAGTTCTAATTGTTTTTATTTCCCACCTTCTTTATTTCAGCTTTACATTCCTGCAAGAATTTATATCCTAGATTCTTCCCTTTGGTCTCATAATATTCATTATTTTAACAAAGATTTAAGTATTCACTCTGTTCAGGCACTGTTACAAGTACCTAGAATACTGAAATAATTATTGCCAAGAGCTTACATAAATTGGCATCAGGTACAAACCTGTTTGTACACATGCAACGAGTCTGGCCTAAATTCTTCCTTTTGATTTGTTTATAAAAGCTTTATTGAGATATAATTTATATACATAAAATTCACCCTTTTAAAGTACATAATTCAGTGAGATTCTCTTTTTAGTATACTCACGAGTTGTGGGACTGACATCACTATATAATTTTAGAACATTCTCATCACCCCAAAAAGAACATCTGTGCCCATTAACAGTCACTTCCCATTCCTCCTCACCACCAGTCCCTAGTTTTGTCTCTATAGATTTGCCTATTTGGACATTGCCTAATTGCCTACAAATGGAATCATACAATGTAAGATCTTTTGTGATTGGTTTCTTTCACTTAGTGTAATACATTCAAGGGTCATCCATGTTGTAGTATGTATTTCATTCCTTTTTATGGATGAATAATATTCCATTGTCTGGTTATGCCATAGTTTGTTGATCCATTCATCAGTTGATAGACATCTGAGTTATTTCTACTTTTTTACACCATTTTTGGAATAATGGTGCTATGAACATTTGTGTACAAGTTTTTTGTGGGCATATGTTTTCTTTTTTATTTTCTTGTGCTATGGGTGCAAATTTACAAAGCAGATTTGTTTTACATTTAACAGTTGATGTACATTTGATTTCACAGCCCCGATTACTATCCTCAACCATAAAAAAAACTCTCTTTCCCCTCTCTTCCCTGTGACTACCCTCTCCCTGTACCCTTCTTATCCATGCATTCTGTCTGTCCAGCTTTCTGTGGGCATATGTTTTCATTTCTCTTGAATATGTATCTATCAGGGGACTTGTTGTGTCATATATATGGTAACTTTATATGTAACTTTTTAAGCAACTGCCAAACTGTTTCCACAGTGGCTGTACCATTTTACAATCCCACTAGCAATCAATGACAGCTATAATTTTTCCATATTCTTAATGACACTTATTACTGTCTTTTTTACTTTAACATCCTAGCAGGGCTGTCAATCTTTTTATTATACATAGGGAACATATCTGAGCATACTTGCAATTAATCACAGATCTTACAACTCTAAAGAAGTTATTCTAAAAATATTTCATCTACTTTATACTAAGAAAACTGTGGGCCTATTTATCTCAACAGTCATGGAAGCATCTCTCACATGAGTGTAACTACCAATATTTTCTAGTTAAATCAAGAAGCAACAAAAATTACCAGGTTTTAAAAATAAAAGAGAAATTAAATTCTCTTACTTTGGCTTTTTTTAAGAGTTCACACTGGTTTAAGCTAATATTAGGAAAAATTTTTAACAATAATAATAAATTTGAGGAGGACTTCAAAGTTTTCAATCCTGCAATATTACAAATTGAGGCCTGAATTTGTTCTTCAGTTTTTTGAGCTTGAGAAATGCCAAGTGTGCTCTTCACTTTTAGTTTTCTAACTCCAGGTCTTTGTACATTTCATCATAATACTTAGTTTCTCCAGCCGAGCTTTGAAATCTTCTGTTCAGCGTTTTCACTTCATCATCTCTTCCATTTGCTTTAGCTACTTTATATTCAAAGGCAAGTTTCAGAGTCTCTTTTGACATCAACTTTGGTCTTTTCTTTCTTTCTCATCTTTTTAATGATCTTTTACTTTCTCAATGTATGATGTCTTTGATGTCATCCTACAACTTGTCTGGT